GAACTAGACTCCACTTCTTGATGAAAGGAGTGGCAAGGATCGTGTGGCATCTGTTGGTTTCTCGGTCACACTGCACACTGTGGGGCAGCGGGAGCTTCTGCTCCACGTCGCTGTTGCTCTGGGACCCAGGCTGAGGGGCAGCCCCAGCTGCAGCACCACACCATGGCAGAGGAAAAGAAGGGGCTCTTGCGGGTTCTGTCTTGAAGCGCCGTTCGCCACTTCCATTCACATTTCATTGGCTAAAGCAAGTCATATGGCCACGCCTACTTTCAAAGGGGTGGGGAAGTCTGACCTTTTCTGGCGCCAGAATTTTGGCAAATGATCTCAGTGACTACTCTCCATATGAGTCGTTCTTATCCCTCAGGGCCACCCCCAGTTCCCATAGCACCTCTTGGATGCTCATTCTGGGTCCAGTGTGGAATGTCCTTCCCCTGCCACCTAGGGTCTGTGTGCCCGGGGCTTGCCCTGGCTGCTCTCCTTTGCTCTGCAATGTATGTCTCTCCTCTCTTTTTCTGGTCCCAGTGGCCAGCCCTTCCTCTGAGGGTTGCTCCTCTTCCCTGCGCCCTTGTGATTCTGACCAGTCGCCAAGCATGGTTCTGTGCCCTGACCCAACGGGATGGGGCTCTGCCCCACTCCTTGCCCCTGCCCCACCATGGTGCTTCCTCCCAGGGATTGGTTGGGAGGTGGGTCCCTTCTTCCTCTCAGATGTGTCCTCTAGAGAGGCCCTCTGCTTCCCTTGCTCCTAGGTGGAGCTGCTCTGAGGCCTGCCACCCTGACATTTCATAAAGGTGCGCGCACGCGCACACACACACACGTAAAATTGGTAACACCCAAATACAGCCTCTGCCTAAGTTAATAGGATTGTATCAAGGTCAGTTTCCTTGTTTTGATACTGTGCTGTGGTTATGTTGGATATATCACTGTGGGAAGCTAGGTGAAGGGTACACATGAACTCTCTATACTATTTTTGCATCATCTTGTGAGTCGTAAATGATTTCAAGTTACAAAGTTATAATAACAGGAATTTGGTGGCCTAAGACGCCGTCATTTACTCCTGCGTCCACCCTTTGGGCAGCATGTGGTGGGAGCAACTTCTCTGTTCACATGGTGCAGCTGGGGCTGCACTCATGCATCTGGTGTGTCAGCTGGGATGCTGGAACCGGGGGGCTGGCCCGGCATCTCTCCCCGATAGGTTTCTCCAGCAGGGCGGCTGGACCTCTTTCTGTGGAGGCTCAGGACCAAAGACGGCAAAAGGGGAGGCAGCGAGCCCTCCTGAGGCCTTGGACCAGATCTGGCCAGTGTCCTTCTCACCTTATTCCACTGGTCAATGCAGTCGTGAGGCCAGTGCAGATTTGAGGGAGATGAAGTAGACTCCACTTGCTGATGAAAGGAGTGGCAAGGAACATGTGGCATCTTCAACCCATTGCCATCGCCAAGCATGTCAGAGACCTCTGAGTCTGTCAGCTCAGATCTAGTCCAACTTTCCCAGTTTGGATGAGGAGATGGCAGCTGGAGACAGGAAGAGGGTCAGCCACAGGAAGAGTGTTGTGGACTTAGGGACAGAGCTGGACTCCCAGCCAGGGTGTATCTACCCTCACTCTGTTCAAGCCCTCGGCTCCACCGGCAGGGCGGCCTCACCAGCCTGGCGTAGCTGCCGGATTCTGTTTTGCACATGCTGGTGTTTGCAATCAAAAAGTTCAGCGGTCTTTCCAGCATGCTCAAATTAGTCCCCATGAAAACCAAATCATTTCATTTGCAGAGAAGGGCTTAATTGCAAGGGGAACGAGGCAAAGGGAATTCTGTTGCCTGTTTTCATTGAAGAAAATTACTGTACTTTCCCCTGTCTCCTTACTAAACAGAAGCAGCTTAGAAATTGCGCTGTAATCACCAGTGATACCTCCCCTACCTTTTCTTCTCAGAGCTCGTTGTTCAGTTCTTTCCCCGTTCTGAGCCTCTGCTCGGGACTGTTCCTGCTTACCTGCCCGGCCGGGGCAGCCCAGTCCTGGTCCCTTAGTGGGCAGCACTTTCACGGTTTGCAAAGTAGCCATCCATACCTGGAGTCTCGCCACACGCTTGCAATGCTGAGACAGTCACCCTGACTTCATGGAGGAGCCTCGGTGATGAACTGGGCCACACTCTTGGCAGGAAGAAACATCCCATCGCTTTCTTCAGAGACCAAGTTAAACCTGCCTCCAGTTCTCACTCATGGGTCTGGTGAGAAGTCATGTTTTGGAGGGCCTCCTGGCCAGCGTCTTATGCAAGCCCTGGGGTTTGTGTGGTTCTGTGACTGGCAGAGGGGCATCTTCCGCCCGGCCTCTAGACCATCTTCACAGCTGCTTCTCTCATGTGATGCTGGGGGTTGGGCAGGTCCTCGGTGCTCCCCTGGTTGTCCCACTCGAGGAAATGCAAGTAAACACAGCTGCTCCTGGCCGATTTGTCTGGCCAGTCTGGGAGCCTCGTCCCACATCAGACAGTCCAGCCCGGTCCCCTCTGTGGCCAGAACAAGGCTGCCTTCCCAGAGGCAGCCTGCAGGGGGGAGGTGCGTGCTGCAAGGCAGCCGGAGGGCTGGGGCTGTGGCAGATCAGTCACTCAGATTGGAAAAAGAAACATGAGCAGACAAAACCAGCCTGAAAGGAAACCAACCAGAAGAATCCAGACCTTAGAAACCCAGTGCCAGGCGGGGCATGGCGGCTCGCTTCTGCAATTCTAGCACTTTGGGAGGCCAAGGCAGGAGGACTTCTTGAGCCCCGGAGTCGAGACCAGCCTGGGAAGTGTGGTGAAACCCCGTCTCTACAAAAAGACATTAGTCAGGCAGGTGGCGTGTGCCTGTGATCCCAGCTCTCCAGGCAGCTGAGGTGGGTGGGAGGATCACTTGAGCCATGGAGTGGAGGCTGCAGTGAGCTGTGATTGCACCACTGCGCTCCAGCCTGGGCAACAGAGCGAGTCTGTCTCAGAAACAAAAGAGAAAACCTCAGTACCAGGCTCTCCTCCTTCTGGGATTGAGGTTTCCATTCATCTATTTATTGAATATTTATTGAGTGCCTCCTGTGGGCCTGTCAGTGTTCTGATTGCTGGGGGACACATCAGTGAATGAACCAAAGTCTCAAATAGTAACTTGCCTAGATACAGGGATAAAGTGGTTTGCTCAAGATCCCCAGCCACTGAAGGACAGAGCTGAGGATGCTGAGCCCCAGGCCTCCACCCCCACCCGGGTGCAGCATCACCCCTGGGAAAACATGGGGATGCCAGGTGGCACGGTGCCCACAGAGACCTCCTGCCTGCCCTCACCCCCTGCCTCTGTCCCTGAACATCATGGGACCCTCTGTTCAGACTCTGTCTCTAGAACTTTCTCTGGGGACGGGTGGAGAGGCTGGCCTGGCTGCCCAGGAGAACTGTTTTGGAACAGCTGGGTAACTTACTGTATAACCACTCTCCTGTGCCTTCCTTTTGGGGGAGGCTGACAGGATAATGGATTTGAGTCCACACACCTGCCTCAACAAAGGGATTTTTTTTTTTTTTTGAGGCTCAAAGTCAATGGTGTATTAATTAAGGGGGAACAGCTGCTACCGCATTTCTTATAAGTCAGTGACAAATGGCCATGTTTACCATCTTCCTGAGTCGAGACTCCGGAAGGTGGCCGGGAGCTCCTGGGTGGATGTCCATGGCTGAGATTTGTGGGGTACAGCCTCCCCTTTCCTGGCCCTGAAGCTTCTTTATCGGTGTCCACTGTGGCCGGAGAGGGCTGTTTGTCACCTAGAAAAGACAGGTCTGCAGCCCAGGGAGCACTCAGAAGGGATCTGGGCAGAGCAACTGGGACTTCTCAGCAATTGCTCCCGCCCAAAGATGCCCTGGGAACCCCACCTGGGAAGTGCCCCGCACTGTCTCTTGTGATATAAGAGCTGCTTGAAAGGCGGACTTGGCCCTGAGAAGCTGAGGAAGGTGGGAGAGCCTGCTCTGAAATGTCTGCAGCCTGGGCGAAGCCAAGGACACACCTCGGGGCCTCTGTGCCAAGGCGCTCCGTGTTCCAGAAAGGAAGGAGCTGGGCTGGCGGGGGCCTTTTGTTATTTAGTTTATTTTGATCTCACTCCTGCTCTCCAAACAGCTTCACAGAAATCGAGTCCTGCATTAGCTCCCTTCTTGGCTTAAGACAAAACGTGGCAGAGGGCGAGTCTGCCATGAAGAACAGAAAAGGGAAAGACAGGCTCACTTTTTCCCCCGAGTTGCGCCTCCAGGTCCTTTGCTTTGACTATGGACCCAACTGTTTGACTCTAGCAATGAGGGTAACCGGCGGGTGCTCACTGTGAACGGAGAGGTGACCACCGCAGGCTGCAAGCTCTATGGGGCACGGCAGGACTGGCTGCCTTCTCGGAGTGACTCACCTTGGGGCCTCCGCAAAAGGAAGAGCAGTGGGATCCCAAAGCACACTCAGCAGCCCAGGCAAGGGAGCCCCCACATGCCTGCCAGACTGCATGGGTGGGCAACGAGGGTCTTCCCAATGGTTGGACTTCAGAGGAGACAGGATGTGGGCCTCATTAACGGATGCTACCAGCTGCTGGGAAGCCCCATCCAACCTCACCCTGCTCTTTCTTCCTCCTCCTCCCAGTGCTGGTGGTGGGTGCCCGAGGGGAACCTCTGGGTCTTGAGGGGAGGCAGAAATGGAGCCACAGGAAAAAGGCACCCACTTCTGGCCACCCACTGAGACCAGGCAGGCACCCTGCTCTGCTTGTTGCAATTCTCATAGCCACTCTGCAGGACAGGGTCATTACACCGTTACAAATGTGGAAACTGAGGCCGTGAGAGTTACGCAGCCTGCTGGAGAACTAGTCACTGAGTGGCAGAGGCCAGAGGTCTGCGAGGAACTGCAGAGCCCACGTCCTGCTGCCTCTCCCACCTTCCCTTCCGGCCATCTCTCCCAGGGCTGGTGCTTAAGCAGCCCACGCATTGCCATTCCTTCGACATAGCTTTGGGGGGGGAAGGGAAAGAACCATGGGCGAGAAACATCCATTTTTAATAAATAGTTTATTCATCCAGCAGTTTCAACCCTGATACTGAAGCCTGTTGCGGTGTTTCTTATTTTTCTGGCTGGAGCCTGATTATGAGAACATGGCCTCACCACGGGGCCAGCGCTCAGATTCCAGCCCTGCCGATCATCCAGACATCAGAGGAAATGAGAGAGTATTGCTCAAATGAGGGAGACTGGCGCTTTATTAAGGAAACAAAAAATACCAATACGACCAGAGAGGGGGTGGTTTAATGTTTCTGGAGGCAGCTGTGGCATCTCTTGTTTGCTCCCCCTCTCCTGCTTCCTGCAGATGACGACACACGGGGAAGAGACTCGCTGGAGAGGCCTCTCGCACTTAACTAAGGCCCCCCGCCGGGGTGTTTCTGGAGCCTGCCTCCCGGGGAGCGGGCTGAGGAGAGGCGGGAGGGCCGGTGGGCGGCGGTGCGGGCGCTGCTCCCGTGTGGCCGGCAGGGGGCAGCCTGCCGCCACCGCGCCTAGCCCGATCCAGGAGCTGCGGCTGGGGTAACAGAAATGCCAGCTGCGCTGCTGAAGTTCTGGTTAAGCAGCCCCGCGTGGGGGCTGTGGTCACAGTAAAGCAAGGCGATCTTCGCACACAGCACGTGGGGCTCTCGGCCCTGACGCAGGGCTCCCAAGCTCCCTGAATCGGAGTTCTGGTTGCAGACCTGGTCTAGAGTCGCAGCTTCTGTGAGAAGCAACACTGAGGCGCGCCCACCCTGGGGCTGCCCTGGAGACCGCAGCTGCACGGCTACCCGGCCCTCCTCTCGGCTCTCGGCCCGTCCACACTAAGGGCTCCTCCCAGGAGGCTGCACCAGCTGCTCACTCCTCCTGACCCGAGGGCCCTGTGTCAGGGCGCGGTGTTTCTAGGTGGTACCCCTACAGTCACTGTTGTAATTTCTAGCACCTTCCCCTTCAGGATGAAGAGGCCGGCCAGCGCACAGGCTTTCTCCCCTCACCCTTGAGCTCCCAGATAACATCCCCTGAAGGCACATGGACCAAGCTGCTCCCCATCCCCTGCCACCCAAACTGCCATCCCTGTCTGCCTCCCAGGCGACAAGCCAGGCATGGCCACGCCCCAGCCCACCAGCCCCACGCTTGTCTGCTGGGCCTGTCAGCTGCTGCTTGTTTTCTGTTCACCAAAAGCAAACCCTTCTCCCCTCTTCTGCCAGCAAAACAGGGCAGAGTCTGGGCCATCACCCTGGCTTTTCCCCTCCCTTTAAAGGAAGCCCACATTTTCCCAGCAAGCCAAGTTCCTTTAAGAGTCTAGCAGACCTTTGGAATCGTGTCAGGACGAGGCCGAAAGTCAAGGCAAGTGTGAATTCAGCACCAGCAGGCCTGGTGACCCTCTCGCATCCCTGGAGTGGACTGTCCTGGGACAGGCTGACCGGGAACAAGTCCCTGCCCGGGCTTATCGTTCTGAGTCGGAGAAGGAAGAGGGCTTAGTCCATCTCCACACCAACATGTCCTCTCCGGCCACGCGGTGGGACTCCGTCTGGATCCGGGATTCATTGGAGGCCAGGAACTCCACAGCTCGATCCCAGACACGCTTCATGCGCCTCCTGCAACAACAGGGACAGGGCTCTGCCTGTCACTGCCGAGGTAAGCCGGCCTGTGAATGCCCTTCCTACAAAGGGGACCCATTTCTAAGCTCCAGCATGCAATTTATGGAGGAGAGGAAAAGCTGGCAGGTACTAACATGACAACCGCAGAGAAAAACGTCTTGGGCCATGAAGAAATGATTCCTCAACCTTTGCTGATCCAAACACATTCAATTAAAGGGAGCTAAAGGGCCGAGGTGTCTGGAGCACCCCCAGGTCTCCAGCTGCGCAGGGCTCCTTGCCAGGCCAGTTCCACTACCCCCGCCACTGCATCTGGATGCACCAGGTGGGTTCATTAAAGAGTGAGCACTGGGCTGCTGCATCTACGCTCCACAGCACACCAGGGGATGGGATGAGCTAAGCATCACACTGGGGAGGCCAAGAAGCTGGAGCTGCTCTAGGGAACCAGAGCCACAGTGAGGGCTCCTTCAGTGGGCCAGAGTCCATTCTCTAGTGGGTCTCTAGGGCCTTGTACCCTGCTGGACAGCCTCTCCCTCATCCCTTCTTCGCTCCTTCCAGACTGGACGGGAAGGTTCCAAAGCCATGAGGGAAGGTCATTTTGATCTTTTCCCTTTGTGAAGCATAGTACCGCACAGCCCTACAACCCCACATGTGGAGAGAGTGAATGTGAGCGTGTACGCATGGAGCAGAAGGGGAGGACAAATGGAGGTGGCCAGTGAGTCAGGAGGCAGGGCAGGGCTAGGGCTTCACCAGGGGCCACGCCCTGCCATCAACCAAATCCCATGGGCCTATTCAGCAGCCCCCACTTGGCTGGTCTAGCTGAGGCCACACACTCCCTGGAGACTGAGCTCCAAGGTACTGGCTCCCTGAGCAGGTGGCCCACGCTGAGTGGGCGGTGCCTCACTCCAGCCCCTCCTTCCCAGGCCAGCTGCTCCAATCAGCTGCACGCTTTTCCCAAGGAAGCGGCTCTTCCCATTGCCCTGTCATTCCCAAGCAGGCCCTCATCTATAGGGCAGACCTGACTGGCTAGCCAATGTCTCCTGACATGGGTAGCTTGACCTGGATCGACTGGGTGGCTTGGGAGGTGAGTCAAGAGACACAGCAAGCAGGGCGTGGATGTCTGGGGTTCACGGGGCTCCGACGCTGAGAGCCAGCTACTTGAGTGGCAGCAGCTCTGGGCATCTATGCTAATGCACAAAGGCCTGGGTGGTGGCTCCGGCTGCAGGCAAGCTGCAATGCCGTCTCCTGCTCTTATTTAAGCGAATGTGTATGTGGAATATCATTTAAGCCCAAGCCATAATGGATGCCCTTGGATGATGCCCACGTGCTAGACATTGACTTTTTTTTTTTTTTTTTTTTTGAGACAGTGTTTCACTCGTTACCCAGGCTGGAGTGCAATGGCGCGATCTCGGCTCACCGCAACCTCCGCCTCCTGGGTTCGGGCAATTCTCCTGTCTCAGCCTCCTGAGTAGCTGGGATTACAGGCACGCGCCACCATGCCCAGCTAATTTTTTGTATTTTTAGTAGAGACGGGGTTTCACCATGTTGACCAGGATGGTCTCGATCTCTTGACCTCGTGATCCACCCGCCTTGGCCTCCCAAAGTGCTGGGATTACAGGCTTGAGCCACCACGCCCGGCTGACTTTTTTTTTTTTTTTTTTTTTGAGACAGGGTCTCACTCTGTCACCAGGCTGGAATGCAATGGCACGATCTCGGCTCACTACCTCTGCCTCCCGGGTTCAAGTGATTCTTATGTCTTGGCCTCCCAAGTAGCTAGGATTACGGGCACATACCACCATGCCTGGCTAATTTTTGTATTTTTAGTAAAGACGGGGTTTCGCCATGTTTCCCAGGCTGGTCTTGAACTCCTAGCCTCATGTGATCTACCCATCTTGGCCTCCCAAAGTACTGGGATTACAGATGTGAGCCACCGCACCCGGCTGCTAGGCACTGACTTAATGAACTTTGAGGCCATCTCCCTGGTACCAACCCTCCTTCCCTTAGGGCTTGTCACTACCTAATATCACATCTTTTCCTTATGCATCTAGTCATCTGTCTTCCTTCCTGAGAACAAATGATCCAGCTGGGCAGGGATTTTTGTTTCTTCCACTTCCTGCTGTCTCCCTGTGACCTAGTAGAATATCTGGCATGTAGCAGGTGCTCAATAAACATTTGTGGAGAAAGTGAATGAATGAATAACAGTCTCTTCATCACAGCCCTCTGCAAGGCAGCAGGATCACCTGCATCTTAGAATGAGAAAACTGTGGCACAGGGTGACTAAGATGCTCATGATCACATGATACTCCTCCCAGGTCCAGGAATTAGGTGGGAGTTCTAGTACCGTAAGTGGCCTTTCCTGGGAGACAGAAGAGCTGGGACCAATAGCAAGCACTCCTCAGAGCAAGCACAGCCCACACTGCTGGGAGTCTGCTCGCCCTACACTTCCTGCCTGCCACCTTTCCAGGGGTGGGGTGAGCATGACAGGCACCAAGCACCTTCATGTCCAAAATGGACCCTTTTTATTTTTGTAAGAGATAGGGTCTTGCTCTGTTGTCCAGGCTGATATACAGTAGCACAGTTACACCTCACTGTAGCCTTGACCTCCTGGGTTCAAGTGATCCTCCTGCCTCGGCCTCCTGAGTAGCTGAGACTACAGGCATGTGTCACCATGCTCCACTAAACTTTTACTTTTTGTAGCGATGGGGTTTCACTATGTTGTCCAGGCTGGTCTTGAACTCCTGGGCTCAAGCAATCCTCTGACCTTGGCCTCCCACAGTGCTGGGATTACATGCATGAGCCTCTGTGCCTGACTTAACATGGACTGCTAACGGCTGTATTTTTCTGACCTCGTGGGTTGCAGGTAGGGATGATGTTGACAGTAGAGCCTGGTGGTGGAACCACAGAAACACCGCTAGCCATGGGACTCCTGAGCACGTTCTTTCACTTCCCTGTGCCTCAGTTTCCTTATATATCAAATGGGGGCACTCCTGTTATGTGCGTGAGCCATGGTGAGGACCTCATGAGTCCTCACCATGTGGAGTCCTGCACCCGTGGAGAGCTCCGAGCAGTGCCTGGCCCCCAGCGAGCACTCAGCAAGGGTGAGCTCTCAGCATCACCCAGCAGATGACAGCATCTGGCCAGAAAACAGCAGAGTCTGCTGGGGAGGGACCCCAACCAGAGCTAACACGAGGGGCCCTGCTGGCTATCTCCTGCAACTCTGTCCCCTTCTCCAACCTGGTTTTGTCAGACCCCAGTGTATAACTCTGGCAGTCACAGCTCCTGTGGAAGGTGCCCTGCAGCTAAGCTTCCTTCTGTAGAGCTCACTGGGGTCAGACCCCGCCTCCCCCCATGCCCAGTGCCCCAGCCAGGGACTCACCGGCTCTGTGGAGGGATCAAGGTGTCACGCACATGCAGGATGCCTACATATGGGTAGCGCTCCATGTCCTGCTCCCAGTCCACATAATGGTCCTGGACCACGTCTGCAGGAGAGAGCACACCGTTTAGGGCAAGGACCTTCCAGCTGGCACTGGCAGCCCTTTTCTCACCAGGAGGCCACACACCTATAATCTTCTTCACCATCTCATACATGGCCTGTTCCTCTTCTTCCAACTTCCGCCACCGATATTTCAGGAGAATCAGGAGTCCCCACAAAAAAGCCAAGCCTGTGGGGGAACAAAACACCATTACTCCCTCACCTCCTTTGGAAGTGGGTCTCACCACGGACAAGACGCTGTGATGGAGGCCATCGGGGATCCGCCACATGGGTTTGGGTGCCTACTACGTGTCAGGCTCAGGGCCAGCATGCAGGAAACAAAGGACGCAGAAATGCAGAAGGAGGACAGACTATTAAGTGATCATCTTCCTTCCGACGGCTGTCACCACAGCGGCATCCCCAGCCATCCAGATCTCGGCTCCTCCCAGCCTCATTCCGGAGCTTTCATCTCCTCCCTTGTGAACCAGAACAGGGTGTTTCATACATATATACATGCCGGGGCCCTTTGTATTCCGAGATGCTGCTGCCGATAATGATTTCTGTGCCTGATGGCGTGGGGGAGGGAGCTGTGTGTACACTGAGGCGGTCTGTGATTTGCAGCTCCGACTAGCTCTGGAGAGCAGTGGTTTCTGTGACTTGGCCTTTCGCCTTCAGAGACGCCCTGAGGTCTCTGCTCAAAGGCGGCCCCTGATGTCAGGAGATAAGACTGGTGCTCTCCTTTCAGCTCAGCACCCGGAGTCCTTCTTGCTTTCATCAGGTATCTGTAGCTCTCCAGGAGATGTTTACGTTTTTCAAGGAGTAAAATTAGGCCAAGCCCCAACTGTGCGTCCTGCTGGAAGCTGGTTCACACTGGGATTCCTGCAGAGCCCAGAAGGGGTGGGGGCCCCGCTCCTGCCCAGGCCTGGCTCCCACTCAGGAAATCTGACAGTCCCCTGCCCTGAATCAAGGACATTTTCTACTTATCCTCACGTTCCTGCCACCAATCTCCAAAGGTAAAGACAACCCAGGGCAGAGGCTGACTTGTTCATCTCCTCTGTTTTATGAGACAGACCTCAGGTTCACTAGACAGAAATGAACCCTCCGGGCCTGGAATTTCTATAGCTCATCACTCATGCCCAGGAGTGCACCTGACTGCACAGAAGGGGAGGGAAAGCGACCGGAGACTTACACCAGAAGAAGATGAGCACATTGGTAACAGCAGTGAGCAGGGCGCGGCTCAGGCGGCAGCCGACACCCATGCGGGGACGGGCAGATTCCAGGCAGACCACCTTGTCCACGGTCGTCACCAATTCAGACTGGTCTTCTCCTTTCAACCTGCAAAGGACACAGGATTCTAAACATGTTCAAAAGCTCCAAAGAGAAGCGCTTCAAACAGGAGGAATGGAAGGAAGGAGGGGACGCAAGGCCTCTACTTGCTTATAGAATAGTCTTGGTATCCTGGCTGCACTCTTTCCAGAAATTTCCCACACTGGCTACTTAGAATGAATAAAACTTTAAAGACGGCAGCAGGTTTGAACCCCTACCACTAAAGCGACGTCACCCTCTGTGGGGTCTTTGACAGCCTCTCTCAGCGTGCAGGAGATTAAACTGTAAATTGGATTCCCACCTCCCAGCATAGAGAAATGGAAATGTTTACTGAATCGCTAGCTTTGCAATTGCATGGCAAGAACTGAAAGAATCTGGGAGGTTGCGCTTTTCCTCCGTGACGAGGAGGCACAGAAGCTGTTTAAGCGTAAAGATCACGGGGCATCCGTGAGGCTCATGGGGAATGAAAACCACCGGGCTCTCCGAGGCCAGACTCCAGCCACAGCGCCACCATGGTCTCCGGCCAGGTGGTGTCAGGCCCTGCAGAGATGTGGACACCAGAGCCTTCTTCCAGCTAGGTGGCCCAGGGTGAGAATATCATGCTCTTGATGTTGCACGCTGGAAGGGCTGGCATCCCAAGTGTCCTGATTTCTCGGGACCCACTTTCGACATGGTCATCCTGAGCGGCTCAGCCGCCCTCCAGGCTGCCTTTCCCAACATGAAAAGGCGAGTGTCATCATTCTTCTGTGTTAGCAGCTTCAGTGAGCACTGCTGCTGAGGATAAAATCCGTATTCTTCTCCACCTTTTCTAACACAGGAAAATTGCTCAGCTACTCAGGGCAGCTTTTTTTTTTTTAAAGTCAACGAACTTTAATCATGCCATGCATCCAGTTATCCAGCTTGAGGCTGAGCTGCCCGAGGGGCTTCTGCTGGATGCAGTGCTGATGGAATTAGTAATTTGGGTGGATTAGATAGGAAGAGAACAAAACTCTAGAGAGCGTTTTTAACACCAAGAGTTGAAACCTAAACAGAGATCCCACAAACACAGAGTGGGAATCGGGTAGGTGACACAGCTCTTCCAGCAGGGGATGGGTCTCTTGAGGCTGCCCAGCTATTTGGCTGGCACGTCCCTCCCCCTGGGCTGAGCTGCCAGATAAGAGCCTTCAGCCTCACGAAAGGGTTTGCTATCTTTCCTAACAGCGCTCACCAGTGGTAAAAATGAAGCAGAAACTGCCTGGTCAGAATAAAATCCAGTATTTCCTTATGCGATTTCCATAGCGAATAAAACCAACATATAGGAAGAATCACTTCATCTACAAATAACAACTAGCTCCTGAGGAGGAGAAGTGCAGAAAAATGCCTTCCCCAGCAAATCATGTGGGGTTGGTGAATGAGAAAGGCACAGACTGAGTTACTTGAGACAGGATTTAGCTGGAACACCAGGCTAACACCCTAACACCTGGATTTTGGTCTCATCTTGAAGCTACTCCTGACACTTCATTCCAAATGCTGCTTGCTTCTGTTGCCCCACTTCCATCCGAGCCCACACAACTCAGCTGGGAGACCCAGCTTTCAGCTTCAGACCTGAGACAGCTCTGTCGGAGCACAGGTGTCAGCTGATGAGCAAGGACAGTGGCTGCAGGCACCCATGCTGCGCCACCACCCGGCCCACACTCACCAGATGCCCACGTCCTTGTTACTGCTCAGTATCCAGGTCAGTGCAGCTTCAAACTTGGCGGAGGAGCTGCTGGTCACATTCTGTGGGAGAGTGCGGGAGAAGATTAGTTATGTGTCTGGGCAGAGCAGCTGCAACATTATTCTGCTGCTGGATTAAGGAAGCCCTCTCCCGTGTCCTCCACAGCCTGAAAACCCTGTTCTGCTAAAACCACAGCAGACTGGCAAGAAGGAAATTTGGGGTTGGTGAAAGCCAAGGAAGAGGCTATAACCAGAGGAGGTGATATGGAAGCACACACAGGAAAACAGTTCTGGTCTGAGGCGGCCAAAAGAATATGATTCTCTTGAGGACAGAAGCATAAGGCCAGAGAGCTGGCAGCTCATCTTGGGGTAAAGTGAATAAAACGGTTTTGGGGGTGGGGGTGGGTAAGCCCAGTGGCCGGTGCAACCTGTCTGACCTCAGGCAAGTCCCTGAACCTCTCCAGGCCTCAGTTTCTTCATCTGTGAACTGCAAATGGAACCAGATGACCTCTAAGTTCCTGGACAGGCAGGCGACCTGGAATGCCAGCTCCATGGATCTATAATCTACCATCCTGAGCCACACAGGAAATCAAACGGCCCCTGGGCAGTCTGAATGGTAATCATAAGGCAGAGAACGGACAGCATGTTTCTCCCGAAAGGAGAGGGCAAGGGGAGCAACGCGAACCAAGGGAGAAGCAGGTAACAGGCCCACCTACAGTGCAGCAGGAGTGAGCCGCCCCCTGCGCATGGCGGCCTGGCTCTGGGGCAGTCACTACCACAGCTGCCTTAACTTAAGGCACAAAAAGCCATAAAGCAAACCTTAACTTAAGGTAGCCTAGTAAAAAAGCCACAAAGCAAGCAAAAAACAAAAACCCCTGCAGGGCTTGAAAGAGCAATAGGAAAGCACCAGGCCCCCCTAGGAATGGATAAGCACTGAAGCCTACTTACGGCTATATATTCCTGGGCTTCCATAACAGGAATGCATTTGCTTTTTAGCTTCTCTGGATTTCCACACTCAAAATTACCTAGGAAAAAAAAAAAAAAAAAAACCCACACATTCAAACACAAAGAGGTGAAAAAAAAATCACTCTGAAACAGACTAAAAAATGCAGCAAGAATCAAGCCATCAGCTCTAATAAGGAGCATGTGGCCCGGCGGCTCCTGGCTTCTGTGGGGCATCTTCACTCTGCAGCAAGATCAAAAGCCACTTAGCTTGGATCGATTCCAGATCATTAAAACCTGACCTGCAAAGCAGTGTGGCGATTTGCATTAAATGACTAAAAAGCTGCCCAATACCAAGGTCTCTTTGCAATTGATCCCTAAAAGGATCAGACGGATAGCTTCGGAAGGTACTGGAATGGGACTATAAATAAACAGAGCCTGAGAAAAAAGAAAGGCAGGGAGGGTGTGGGCACCACAGGGATTCTGACTCATGACACGGGCAGGCAACCTAGAACGCCAGGCCTATTGTCTTGAGGGGCCCCTTGGAGGAAGAGGACGTCTGTGTGCTGGGCAGTGGGGCCTCAGCGTGGCACGCCAAGGGGCAGCTCCCCTAAGCGGCTTTGGAGGCCTGCTCCCATAGGATGGGGCTGGCAGCCTCCTGCTTAGTCCTGCCCAACCTCTCCGGTCCAGTCCAGGGGTCATTTCCTCCGGGAAGCCCTCAGCCCTTGGGGGCCTTTCGTTTAGTGAAATGACCCCAGACATGGTGGCCTGCCACAGCCCTCAGCCCTCGCTCCTGTGCTGTGGTTTGCCTGACTCCCCGAGAGCAGGGAGGGCACAGGGCCAAGCACACACACACTCCTTAACACGTGTGTGGCCTGACTGCCTTGACCCAGCACAGCCTGGGGGGCTCCGGGTGACAAGTGTCTGTGTATCTGCATGCTGGGGGCAGTGAGCAGCTGAAAGTCGTATTTTAAAATCCTGAAACTGAACTGAACCTGTCCCCCACCTGCAAGACAGCCAAATCCTCCTACTTCAAAGTTGATCTTGACCCCAGGGGTCCCCGGAGACGGAGTTGTCGTCTAGCATCCTCCTGTTCCCACCAGGACTCTTCCTGCCCTTGCCAGGCCTGCCTGGACCACCTAGATGGCTTCCCAATTCGGTTCCTCCTCTCCCCTTTCCAATCCAGTTGCTTTGTCAGTAACGCTTGAAAGTGATTCTGCTTAAATGACACGGCACCACTCAAGCTGCCGCCGCATCTGCCTTCCTGGCATCTGGCTCTCAGCAGGGACACGCCCTCGCTCAAAGCCTCTCCGGCCCTCCCTGCCTGCCAGATCAAGCTCTGATGGCCTGGCATCCAAGGCCTTCTATGGGGAGGTGCAACCAACACTTCCAAACTTCATTCCCTCATTGTCCCCTTCCTCCATGAAGGTGCTGCTTCCCACGCGACATGCCTTCACGCATTCCCTGCTGCTTTGGCTTGCCCTTCCCCACATACACATAACCAGTCTTACCTGCGCTTCAGGGCCTGGCACAGATGCTACCTCCCCTGTGACGCTCTCCTGACTGCTCCAGCTAAAAGGCGTTGTGCCTCTTAGAACTTCCGGCCTCTTGGTTCTTGTCTAATTACATTTTAAGTTACCTAGTGGTCAGGGAAGTAGGTAGCCTGTCTCTTCTTCTAGACCCCAAGCACCTTGCAGGCAGGACCTGGAGCTGAGTTATCTCACATCCTGTAAGGGTGAGCACATTGCCCAGCCCACGGCGGATCCTTACAGGAGAGGCGGGGAGGGGCTGAAGACTACTAGAGAGCCTCTGCCAGGCATGGCACACTCCTGTCTCAGTGAGATATGTACCTCCAAGGCGGCCCCCCAGCCTTGTCAGAGGGCAACAGGTGGCAGCGCTCTTGAGGGCATAAGGCAGGACCACATAGGGAGGGTGGGATGGAAGAGAAATATATACTAGGACCCAATTTCGAGCAGAGCTTCTCAACTTTAAGGCGCACTCAAATCCCCTGGGGATCTGAAGATACAGACTCTGATTCACTGGGTTTGGCATGAGACCTGAGATTCTGAATTTCCAGTGAGTTCCCACGTGATGCAGATGCTCTGAGGTCCTTGGACCACAATTGAGACACAAAGGTTTGGAATACCCTCTTAGGCCAGAATTGACATCCCCAGCACCTGAGCCATATAGAGGAAGTCCTATGATGACTGTGATGCTACCAGCAGGAGCCCCAGTACCTGTCTCTCCTCCAGGTGCTCACGGATGCCTCCCCTACCATCTCAATCTCCCACTTTCAAGAGAGAGGAGGCAGAAGAGCTGATGCTCATGAGATTGACCCTGAGGACTGAGGGCCCAGGTCAAGTCTACCCGACCCCAGTTTCCCAGTGAAACCTTAGACAAGGGTTGACCTCACAATCCTAAGACCTGTCCTCTTACCCCACAGGTAAGAGGTGCCTCTTGAATACCCCTTAAGATGGAACTGCTCTGTCTGGTTCTTCTGTCCAGCATATGTAACACAAGGCGCACGCGCTGATGTTCACCTATGTCAGCTGCGAGTGATCCTGAGCGCCTCCTGGATGCCAGGTGTTGGGGAGGACACTATAATGCAGGTGACGTCTCTGGCCTCAAGGAGTAAGTTCACCAAATAAAACAGTAGGGGATGCATCTTCAGGGGCATTTCAAAGAGGTGCTAAGAATGTCCTCCTTTAGAGGTCAGCACTTGACTCTCATTTGTAGAGAACAGATAGACCCAAGAGCCCTTGGTGGGACAGGGAAACAAAGACCCTGAGAGGACCAGGGACTCTGTCCAAGGTCCCACAGCCAGATGGTTGTCAGGATCAGATGTGACACCAGGGCCCACCACACAGACTGACTGCTATCTGCACAGGCAAGAGGCCTTTCCCTGGCCCAGCCAACCATCTGGTTCAGAGGGTCCCTCTAGGGTGGAAGATACAGATTCTGACAACACCTGGGGCCTGGCCGCTTCCAATGCCAAACAGACCTCCCAAAGCATTAGGTACTGGGCATCTGCAGGAAGGCCTGTGTACGTGCCAGGACCTCCCTTAAAGAGGAGCAAGAATCAAAACTGTTTTGTTCAAACGCAAGGCTGATAAAAGATGTGCCTGAGTGGAGAGGCGAGAAGGTGAGACTCAGCTTCTGAATATGCCTTCTGGGAGACAACCAGGGAGTGTCTTCCCAGCCAGCCTCAGTGTAGCTAATCAGCCTGGCGAACCAGGACAGCAGCCCATAGCTCTTGCAAGAGGAATCTCAGGACTTACGTGACTTACTCACCGGCTTGGATGGCCAGGAAGTTGTAGAGTTCGTGCAGCAGCTCCAGCAAGGCTGCCTTCTGCTTGGCCTGACAGAACTGAAAAGGCACGGGACAAGTGGTCAACAAGGAGGGGTGGGTGGGAGGGGTCGGTCTTTACCTCTCCAGCCACACTGTCAAATACTGAGCAGCAAGGAACGTCTGCTACTTTTACAAAACAGAAACAAATTCTGCCAAGTGCTAAGGCCAGGGAGAGAGTTGATAAACATTGGGTCAACTGTCTGAGAAAGACCCTGGAGAAGCAGAGGCAGAGCTGAAAAGCAGACACTGTAACCAAGGAGCTGCATCCCAGAGGCTCCTGGCTCCTGCCTTCCCCTTGGAACGATGACCAGCAAGAGGACTGAGCAGAAGCAACGTGGTGGGGGGATGATGCAGTCGCTCGGCTGCCTGAGATGGAGGAGCAACTGCTGAGCTGGGCGGGGACAGGGCAGAATGTCAGCAGCTGCCATTTCGCTTCCCTTTAGGTGGAATCTCAGGGCCCTCATCTGAGTAAGGATTGTGGAAGGATTCAGTGAGAACTCAAACCACTCAGCAGAGGCTGCTACCACCTAAAGGAAACAGGAGGACAGACGGTACCAGACAACTAGACGGCCTGATGAAGACAACACACCCACTCCCAGCCTGTCCCCACGTTTTCGACAGCATAAAGGCAGAAAGAAAAACACAAAGTGTCACAGTCTTCAACGGCCCAAAAGGGAAAGAACACGAATCTGAAATTCAAATGCCCGTCTGCAATCTCCGTGAGCCTGGAGCTATGCAAAGAATAAAACTTTCAGCAAGAGCCTCACCAAAGCCAAGAAACACATCCCAACCTGCTTGTTCTTGTGTCCACCCTCCAGAAAGGTGCCCCATGAAATCTCAGCTCCACAAAGCCTGCATTGAGATGGCCCAGCCCCTGCTTTTTGATGCTCTGATGAGGATTTGAATGGTTACAAATATGGAATATCTGCATCTGAAGCAGGTGCGGAATGCCGTCTGCCCACGGAGCACATCTGTCGCGAGGACCGAGAGGGTGCCTGTCTGGGCTCACTCAAGTGGGGTGTGAGTGTGTCCAGATCAGAGGCGGCCAGGGAACAAATGTGCCATTCACTTGTGGTTCTGAACCATTTAGAGATGTGAAGGACCAAGAAATAGAAACCATGGAACCTTTTCTTCGTTAAAAGACAAACAAAACTAACAGCATTGAGAAGTCTTACAGAAAGGTATTTTTTCCTGTTTTTGTTTTAAGTCTTCAAATTCCAGCTTCCCTCTGGCTGTCTGTGTTTCTGGGCCACTTCCTCTCATCATCAACTAGAGTTTTTATGATAGAAGGCTGATTAAACTTGTTATGATTCTGTTTTTACAAAACAATTGGGAAGCAAAGATATTTGGTGGATGAATGCAATAAATGAATGTAATAAAACACCCCCAACTATGACACACCAGAAGCCAAAGAGAAATAAAAGCGGTATCTGCACCAGGATGCCCCTCATTAACATGGGTAAGACAGTCATTGCAGGAGTGGCCAGAGGACCATGCGTCATTTTCTTTCCCAGCCCCTGGGCTTCCAGAGATGTTAACTAAGGACTCGGGAGGCCGGGTATTGCTCTCTTAATAATTAGACTACTAAGTCATGCCCTCTGGCAGCACGAGACTCCTCCTGGTAAGATTTATGACCTGAAAATTTATTGCCCCGTATCTTCCCCAGACTGTCACCAGAACCAGCATCCCAGCTCCTTGATAATGCTGCTTTCATGATTCATAAATGAATGGGGCTGCTTGCCTTCCCCAAATATTATTTGTAGGGAATATCAGAGCTTCATAAAACAAATCTAAATGTAGACTAAGAGGGCTAATTCCACTAAAGATGCGTTTCAAACAAACTCCCTATGTTTCACATCAGAACAGCATTTTCAGAGCCACAGCTGCACCACCAGAGAGAATGTGGAATTGAGAACGTGGCCTCCTGATGCTTAGAAATGCTAGCCGTTCCTCCCAGCGCCAGGGAGCTTGAGAGGTCCTTAACAAGAACCTACTACATCCCCCTAGATTGACTCAGGCAGAAGATCAAAGTCCCTGACGCTACATTTGATGGGAAAGCGTCCATAACAAGCCCAGGGTTGGATTTTGGGAGCTCAGTTCTATTTCAAGTATCCTTCACTGCCACGACTGAGCCTGACACAAACATCACAGAACACAATGTGATTCTGGTACCTTACAGGAAGCACTCCCTGAAAATGGTCCTATTCTTTTTCTGGGGAAGTTTACCTCCTGATGGAGGCTAATATCCTCAGGAGGAATAATAAAAGCCAGAGAAACTCAAACTCACCTCATCTGTTTTTCTCTCACAGTCCACTGGCAATAACTTCACTGAGACCAAGAAAAGAAACAAAGGAAATTAAGTGTGAGTTGAGAAAGGAATACAAAAAGAGACTACTTAAAACATGCAGGGGGTGGGAAGCATCACCAAGCCAAGGGTGGGGATTAGAAAGATGCCATCTAAGGCAGGCACTTTTAAAATGCAGACAGTAAAATGTAAGGGTATCTCTAAATCCTGGATGAAGAATTAAGATAGCGGGGTCCTTGTCCCAGCTGAAAATGACCAGCTAAAGGTTCTTGGGCAACTCAGCCACTCTGAACCTCTGTTTCCTCACCTGTAAAATGGGATCAAATGGGACTTCCCGGCTTAACTCAGGGAGGTAGGCCCAAACAAAACAAAATACAGGACAATGATATATTAAACAGAGATGAACACCATAACGGGAGGGGATGTCCAGGTAAATACCAGCATATATTCTAGCCCTGTTGACTTTAAAGCATCTCAGCAGTGAGTAGCTGCGTGATACTGTTTGACATCACCCTTGTAGTTACCGTACCATGACACCCCCAAGTCTGCTTAATTTCTCTAGCAGGTTGACAGACTATTCACATAGTTGATAAACTGCTCTGGTAGTGGGGAAATCATCTGGGTGTCTGCACACAAGTCTGTGATACCCTCGCCCACAGACCCGCACACTCCCAAACATCCGTGTGCCACACCAGCTAAGACATACTGTAGCTTTTTCCTGTATTTCAGCAGTTCCTGCTAGGCATGGAAGGATGTGGTCTTGGCTGGAAGCTGGGAACAGTATGAGTCACATTCATGCTTTGCAAAGAGTATTAAAAGTTGGCCGGGCCTGGTGGCTCATGCCTGTATTCCCAGCACTTTAGGAGGCCGAGGCGGGCGCATCACGAGGTCAGGAGTTTGAGACCAGCCTGACCAACATGGTGAAACTCTGTCTCTACTAAAAATACAAAAAATTAGCTGGGCGTGTTGGCATGCACCTGTAATCCCAGCTACCCAGGAGGCTGAGGCAGAAGAATCACTGGAATCCAGGAGACAGATGTTGCAGTGAGCCGAGATTGTGCCACTGCATTCCAGCCTGGCTGACAGAGCAAGACTCCGTGGCAAAAAAAAAAAAAAAAAAAAGTATTAAAAGTTGGTGAACTACGGTGGCCCTTTATACCTAAATGTATAATGAAATGATCTCTACGTTTCATTTCAAGAAACAATCCTCAGCTATTCCGAGCCTGTATCCTGCAGACCTCTCACTGGCATGGCTAATCATGTAACTTAAGCAGGGACAGAAGGATGGCGGTGAGCATCCTTAAGTCAGTCTCTCTTCACACACTTCATGAGGGTGCTACAAGCAACGGTAAGCGCCTCCTGCTACTATCAGTTGACAAAGGGGGTCCCTGTGGTTCAAAGAAGTGGAGAGTGGACTTTTTTGGTGCTGCAAAGCTGGCACCCCCAACCAGATCCCGTCCGTGGGCCAGTGAACTCTGGAGTGCCTTCCAATATGCACTAAATGTGTGAGTAAGCCAGAGATCAAAAGGGAAGAACCCAAAAGGATGAAGTGAATCTGTTAGAGGGGGGTGTTGCTTCCTCTCCACGGAGAAAACCAGAGGCTGGGGAGCAGTGACTACAAACGAGGACTGCGCCCAGCTTGTGACTCAAAGGGAGGCGTTAGAAGGGAGGGCTGGGGCAGAAAAGGGGAACAGGAGAAAGTGAAGGCAGAAATGATTGCAGATGCAGAGAAGCCTTGGCCCTCTCTTCCCGCAGCTGGAAAAAGGCAGGCCTGGAAATGAGAAGACAGAGGCAGCTGACAAGGCGGGGAGCGCGCGGCCTGGCGCCGACAGGAACGGGTGGTCGTCTGGCAGACACACGCGCCCCCAGGGCCCTCCCCTGCGCCGGCCCGGGACGTACTGTTGTCCTCCGCCTCCTGCGGCGCCGAGGGCTTGCCCATCTTCACCCAGAGGATGCCCAGAAAGACGAGCAGCAGCCCCAGGCTGGCCCAGAGCAGCAGCCGAGACAGCCAGCGCTCCAGCCGGCGCCCCACCTCGGGCCGGGCCCGCGCCGCGCCAGCAGGGCCCGCTCGAGTAGCCCTCAGGCCCGGGCGCGGGTCGGGGCCGAGGAGGGCGGAAGGCAGCCGCGCCGGGGCGGGAGACGCTGCCCACCAGCGGCGGGCCGCGAGACCCGGGCCCTGCGCGGCCCTGTCGGGCGTCCGGGCGTCCTCGTCCTCCTCGGAGCTGCCCCGGACCGAGGCGCGGCGCCTGAGCTGCGCCGGGCGGGCAGGATAGGCGAGGCCGCGGCTCCCTACCCAGGAAGCCGCGGAGGGCCGGATATCGCCGTAGGCCCCAGGAGTCGCGTAGGCCGAGCCGGAGGTCGGCTGGGAGAGCCAGGGCTCCGCCCGCAGAGAGGCCGTGGCGGGCCGGGCGCGCAGCGGCCCATCCTCGCGTAGCCTGGTCTCTTCCCGCAGCCGGGCCTCTTCCCGCAGCCGGGCCTCTTCCCGCGGCCGCTCCTCGCCCCGCGGCCGGGCCTCCTCCCGCAGCCGCTCCTCGTCGCGCAGCCGGGCCTCGCCCCGCAAGCGGCGCAGCTTATTGCGGTAGACATCCCGGGTGGTGTCGGTGATGGGTCCTGGCTGGAAGCCCAGGGCCTGCAGCTCCCGCCGCAGTTCCAGGTCCGACAGGCCGGCCATGGCCAGGACGCCGCCCCCCGCCCGCCCCCGTCGCGCACCGCACCCGGAACTGCTCCCTCCCGCAGCCGCGGCGGGGCGGGCGGGGCCCCGCGCCATCTTGGGAAGGTCGGTCGCCATGTTGGGGAGGTCGGTTCTGTCCGTGTGTCGGCCATGATAAGGAGGTCTGACGTGGCTTTCGGAGCCGCCATGGTGGGAAGGTCTAAGAAGGATTAAATTTTTGTTTTGTTTTGGTTTTCCCTCTCCGCTCTCCCACTTCCCTTTGTTTGTTAGATCAAGCAGTATTAATCTTGGAGCCCTCCGACCCTAGCTTTGCCTAAAGTCGTGTTGATTTAATGGATGAATTGCTTAATGGTGAAAGAAGCCACTGGGAGAGACAGGATCATGCGCCTCTCTGTGGGCTTGGAGACTGATGTGCGATTCGGTTTTATTTGGGCCGTAGAGTACACTCCAGGAATGCTCCGAGACCCTATCCCGACTTTGGGTGTGTTAACTGGGCGACACTGAGCACCAAGTAGGTGCGATCCCTGCCTTACGACAGACACTCGTCTCTGAGGCGTGCCAGCCTGGAGAGGACGAAGCTTCCGCGGTGGAGGCGGAGGAGCCAAATGCCCTTGGGCTCGAGTGGGCAGTTGAGGCTTCTCTGCGGAGGCCTGTGTCTGCGTAATGAGATTTTCACAAGGAGACGTGGGTGGTAGAAGACTCCAGAGATCCACGGTTTTGTAGCCTCACTGATGGTTTAGGATGTGGGTTTTGGAGCCAGACACTTTGATTTCAAATCCCTCCTCACAACTATTAGATGTGTGAGCATACTGTTAACATTGCTACCTGTTTTCCGGTAAACCTGTGAGTCGCTGTGAGGATTAGAACAGGTAGTTTGGCTAAGGTGCTTGGGATAGTGCCTGGCACACGCTCGTGAGTGTTTATACTGAACCCACATCTTTGCAGTCTCCCGTGTTGTGTAGAGCCTCCCACAGGGCAGGTGATTTGGGTACATGAAGGCTCTTAGCAGGAATCCCCTAAGGGAAGCAAGGGAAGCTGTGGCAACTGGAAATAGAGCCAGTTTATAATCTTCCTTCCACATCCCTCAACTCCCATTCCCAAACATTTATTGCTGGCCCAATAGGCTCCATCCATTTCTACCCCTGCGGTTCCATTCTCCCTTTCCCCCAGGCCCCTCCTCCCTGGAATCCCCTTAGCTGTCCCAACAGCCCCCTTGTCCACTCCCCACTAGATCCCTCCCCTCCCTGGCACCTGGGCACCGCTGTGCTCCTCTGTCCAGGTTTTGCATTCCTGCCACTTGCTCCACTTCAAGGGTATTCAACACCGGCCACAATTGCTGGGAAAATTACAGCCTTGGCTTGGTCAGCTTCTGCTGTTAGCCCCCCCATCTCCCCCGACTTAGCTGCTCCCATGTGGTGTGATTTCTCTCACCAAGTGTTGTTTTCCTTTTCTCTGCCTGTGTTTGCACGGAATGCCATGAATTTGATATAGTGATTGCCTAACACATATACCACATAATAGTATTTTCTTTCTTTCTGAAGCACTGTTTGCATGACAAATGAGTTGGTAACATTTGTGCAACTCCTGGCAGCTGTGCAGTTCAATATATAAAGAATGAGCCTTTCGGCATCAGTACTGGCCCCATGTATTCTAAGAGGGCTTGAAACTAATGCTTAAACAAAGTTACCGTTACAGCATTTCCCAGAGTTATGGTCTATTTCATCACAATGGATTTCAGGGTGATTTAAAAATACGGACTGAGCCGGAGCCACCCCCAGTGGTGGCATGCCATGTGGGCTTCGTCAGCTTCCTTGTGTTTGGGGACACTGCTGTCACTCCACACATCCAGGGTCAGGTGGCCTACAGTCCCTCCCCCAGAACGCTGTTGTCTTCCCTCCGGTGCAGAACCACTGTGCTTGCAGTTGTGAACCTTGGCCACCCATGACCAGCTCTCCTACCTCCATGGTGTCTTCTGGCTGTCAATGGCCTTGTCTGGCAGGATCTTACAGGCAGAAGTTTGGGCGTGCACCAAGGGGCACCCAGGGGCCACTTAACAGCCAATTTGTTGATCAGTGCTTCCCTTCCCCGCCCTCTCTGAGAAGGAACCTCGCAAGTTAGCCAGGTGTTCCTCCCAGTTCATCCTGAACTCGCAGCTCCAGTCACGTTCCTGCTCAGATTTATAGTCTCTTTGGTTCAGTGACGTTGGCGTGTTGCTTTTTGCTTTCCTCCGCACAACCATCCACACGCTCCCCTCCGCTTGGAAGGGCTCGACCTCGGCTCTTCTTTTGAAGAAGAAGAGCTTTGCCACCACTGCCCCTTCAGGAGCTGCCCACGAAGCCTGCCAGGGCTTCTAGGAGCCAGCCTTTCTGTGCCTTCAGCCTGGCTCTCCCGCTGGGCCTGTCCACCACTGGAAGGCATATTGTAAAGAAAAGGGCAGTATTGCAAAGTCAGAGGCTGCTCTGCATGCCCTCCTTTCTCGTCATTTTGCTGTGGGGTGTTTTTTTTTTAAGGTGAGCAGCAGCTCAGGCTGTGGTCGGTCTTCCCGATGTATTAAAGACAGAGGAGGAAAAACAAGCTCCAATGTCTAAATCTACTTAGTAACCACATCCACACATTTAGCAGAGGTGAAGGGCTGCTCGGAGCACGCTCTGGATTCCCGGAGGGCTGCTACGCTCCCTTCCGTCCCGCTGACCTCTCTCTGTCTTGGCAGAGCCTTATAATAATCACAACTATAAATCTTTTAGTGGGTTCCATTCTCCTCCTCCTGCAAAAAGCCCTGCACACATTTATCAGGTCCTCAGAGATACTCAGGGACCAGGGATTCGTCCTTGATCCACCTCATCCAGGGCCTCATATATCGCCTCAGCTACTCCAGGCTTCCTTCAAACTACATCACAGGTGGCATTATGGTGGGGGCAGGGCTGCTGGGAGACTGGGGCCATCTGGGTCTCAGATTTGGACTGGAATGACCCCAGGAGCACCCAGCTTCTTGTTGCTCCATCTCAGTGCCTTATGGAAGAGGAGGGTACTCTTTTTGTCTCTCTCTAGGTCTGGGGGTGTGTCAGCTAAGGGGGAAAATGGAGTCACAGAGCACTGCCAGAATGGTATTTCATACACTGCTGAAAATTAAACAAATCTCTCACGCTTCTGACTGCTCTCACACTTTGATATCCATGAGTAAGAGTTCCTTTAAAGGCATGGAATACATTACCCAATGTCAATAACAAATTGTGTATGAAGAAAAATGTAATGCTTTGAGAATATTTTCTTTGGGGCTTTGTCCATGATTAGATTACACTAAATTACAGCATACAGATAGCAGGCAATTACTCTTTGCTTTTTTTTTTACTTTTTTTTTTTCTTTAGATGGAGTTTCATTCTTTGTTGCCCAGGCTGGAGTACAGTGGAGCAATCTCAGTTCACTGCAACCTCCGCCTCCCCAGTTCAAGCGATTCTCCTGTCTCAGCCTCCTGAGTAGCTGGGATTACAGACATGAGCCCCTAGACCTGGCTAATTTTTGTATTTTTAGTAGAGAAAGGGTTTCATCATGTTGGCCAGGCTGGTCTCGAACTCCTGACCTCAGGTGATCCGCCTGCCTCAGCCTCCCAAAGTGCTGGGATAACAGACATGAGCCACAGTGCCCAGCTTACTCTTTGCTTTTAACTATTCAATTTCATGGCAAATCCACATAGCTCAGCAATGCTAAAATTACACTCATGTGGTTACCCAGAAAATACCTCATCATCTCCATTTTGTGAAGCTAGGTTTAAGTTGTGCTGTCTTGACCCGTGGTCCTGTCAAGTGTAAGGAACATTCCAGATGAACACAGACTAATCCCTGCCTCCCTGTAATTGCCAGGTATCCGGAGAGATTCTTGCAGATGTTGCTGGAGAAGCCTGAGTGAGGTGTGAAGAGGAATGGCATCCTTGCCCCCCTGGTTATTCTGGGTACCCTCCCTGTCTCTGATCCTGGCCGGTCTCCAGTCCTACTTATTCTCTTGTTTTAACCAGGAGCATGTCTCTGCTTCTGTTTTCTGAAAACATGGTCATTTTCTTTTCACTCAGCTCACAGAATCCTCCCCAATCTACTCGCAGTTTTAATTTCTTCCAAGGCTGTGGACATCCCATAAGCAATCGAGTCGGCTGTCCTGGAAACTGGAGGGCTTGTTGGTGAAAAAAGAATTATTTGAGCCGATTGCGAGCAATCGAACAGTGGCAGGAGGTGGAAAAGGAGAGAAGAAAGGAGCCGACACATCTAAACAAGCGGCCAGGGCACTGTGCATACAGATGTAGGTGATAGCGGGGTTCCTGTTGCGGCTCATTACCAAGAAACACATCAGAGGCTGCTGAGTGAGGGTTGGGGCTGTTGGGAGGCAGCGCTGAGCTCTGAACGGGGCTTTTCTGCAGAAAGGACAGTACCCTCTCCCTTCCCTGGTGCTGCAGCTGTGGAACCAGTTCCCACCTAAACAGTGCAGACCGCCTGGGCAGAGTCTCCTGGGGGCTCCATGTCCCTCCGTGGTGGGTGTCTGTTTCAACGAGAGGCTCTTCCACACCCAGAATCTCAGAGAAAATTTCCCAGCCAGTGTTGGGGCTCCGCCCCAGAAATGGGCACCCCCTGCTGGTGATGGGGGCAGGCGGTCTTGCTACAGGGACAGATTCCAGCCGAGGGTGAGGTTTTTCTCAGGGAAAGGGGCCACCATGAGCATCTCGTTTCTCTGCGTCTTGGAGTGTGTTACGGAAAACGGGGTGAACTGGCATGGTGGAGCTCGGAAAGACAGGGAGGAGTGTTGGATCCAGAACTTCCCGGCAGCAGGCTCTAAAGATTTCCGTGTCTCCCCCGCCGTCCCCTGCGTGCCCTCCTACCGCAGCCCTCTCTCTCTCTCTCTCTCTCTCTCTCTCTCTCTCTCTCTCTCTCTCTCTCTATTACAGGGCGTCTTGGCAGCATTTCCTGGGAACGGGCGGCTGCTCCGGGGTTGATTAGGATATGTGCAGGAAGTGTGTGCGAATGTGCAGCGTGACCAGGGTGGGAGCCCATGCAAAGTTT